GGCCCTTCCCTGACAGGTTTTGGGGAAATTGTTTAAGCCGTGGGAATTTGGGACCTGCCTCGCATGGGCCAGTAGGCCTGCTGTAGTGTTCCTTCTTCTTAATGTTTCTTATAACAATCCACCACCAAATAAACATCCGGGCCTATGATAACATCCAGCCACCGATAACATCCAGCCACCGATAACATCCAGCCTACGATAACATCCAGCCACTGATAACATCCAGCCACCGATAACATCCAGCCTACGATAACATCCAGTCACCGATAACATCCAGCCACCGATAACATCGCAGCCACCGATAACATCCAGCCACTGTTAACATCCAGCTACGAGCTGTATGTTATCACTGGCTGATAACTAACTACTCACTACCTACTACTACTACTACTACTACTACTACTACTACTACTCGCTGTGCTTGCTGCTACTACTACTACTACTATACTACTACTACTACTACTACTACTACTACTACTACTACTACAACTCGAGTAGGTCAGTATTGTTGACGCTTTCTGACGAGTTGCTGTCGCGGGCGTGGTTGTGGACGCGGGCGTGGTTGCGGTTTCGGGCGTGTGCGTAAACAAGGGCGTGGAGGCGTGTGCGCGCCGAGGCAAGGCGTGAGATGATAAGTTCTCGAGGAGAGAAATCAGTGTTGCTTACGCGAGCCAGGCGAGTGGTGAGCTTGCAGCCTGCCATCCCTGGCCTGCCACCACGTGCTGTCATCCCTGGCCTGCACCTACGTGCTGCCATCCCAGGCCTGCCACCACGTGCTGCCATCCCTGGCCTGCCACCACGTGCTGCCATCCCAGGCCTGCCACCACGTGCTGCCATCCCTGGCCTGCCACACCACGTGCTGCCTTCAGAAACTAGCCTCCCACAGGCCAGCTCAGCCTGATAGTCTGATCTCCGACTTACAACACTCACACTGCTGCTAAGTATCCTAACTTGAAAGACGATATGAAGATCATTAGTTATTCTCCTTTGCTCAAGAACTTTGAGAACTGCATAAGTTCAAAGTTCTTGTTGGGTGATTAGGTACCTGGTCAATAGTTTCGAGCACCTGAGTGGGAAACTCTAGCACCTGAATGGTAACTCCAGCATCTGCGTGGTAACTCCTGTACCTGAGTGGGAACTCCAGTACCTGAGTGGTAACTTCAGCATCTGAGTGGTAACACCAGCACCTGAGTAGTTTCTCCCTGAAGATCGTTAGGTGCCAATCAGAGAACCTCTCCAGTCGTCAGTAAGACCAAAATTCTGTTAATTAGGAACCCCTCAAGGGGAGTAGTATCTGGATGCAGGTAAATAGGAACCCCTCAGAAGAGAGGTAGGTGTCCGGATGCAGATAAAGCTCTCTCGATCCAGGGAAACTGAGCTACCCTCCCTTTCCATGGATAAAATTTCGTTGCCCCCCATACCGCAGACCCAATATTATTTTAATTAATATTAAATAAGACATATTTCTCACTTATCTATTTGTGCCCAACACTATCTACTTGTGTCTCACAATCTACTTGTGCCCTCACTATCTACTTTGCCCCACTATCTACTTTTTGTCTCACTATCAAACTTGTTCTCACTACTATTTTGTGTCCCCACTATCTACTTGTGTCTAAACTATTTTAACGTGTCCACTATCTATTTGGTGTCTCCAAACTACTTGTGTCTCACTATCAAATTTGTGTCTCCCTATTACTTGGGGCCCACAACCCTACTTGTGTCTCACTATCTACTTGTGCCCCTCACAAACAATTTTGTGTCTCACTATCTACTTGTGTCTAAAACTTTTCAAACATGGGGCTCACAATTTTATTTGTGTCTCACAAACAACTCGTGTCTCACTAGCTACTTTTTTTATTGTAATCTCATTAAGATTACTTTAAAACGGTGACGTAAAAAAAAGGGGCCACACCCCCCGCCTGGAGAATGGGGGAAATTTTTAAATTTGATCCGGGGAAATGAGAGAAAAAAAACCCAAAAAAAACAAGGCAAAATAGAGGACGGAAAAAACAAAAATTGCCCCCACGTACACAAAAAAACAAAACATCACGATGTGGAAATGGAAAGGTGATCCCGCAAGATTGGAAAAAAAGACACTTTGTACATTTAAAAAGGACATATTTAAAGGAAACTTTTCGCCACGAGTGAAGCCACCGGGCGAAACTTTTCCCTTTTAATAAAATGTCCTGAACTGTACATAAGTGTCTTTTCCACATATCACGATTTTTTTGGTCCAATTTGGGTCCATTAACCCCCCCTAACGAGAGTCCCTTTGACAACTTTCCAGGTGGATGTTTTTTCCCGGGTTATCAGAGAAAATTTTGCCACCGAATGGCTAGTTTTCCCTGTGCACACATATCTATCCTGGGGTGGCAGTGCTATTTACTGGGGCCCCCTATATCATCCTTTAAAAGGCCCAGTGGCGGTTTACTGGGGCACATAGTATCTATCCAGTGGAGGGCAGTGGCTTTTACTGTGCCACCTATATCTATCCTGGGGAAGGGAAAGTGGCTAGTTTACTGTGCACATAGAAACTATCCGGGGGGGAAAGGCAGGGCTTGTTTCTGGGGGAAACACTAATCTATCCGGGGAGGGTTAGTGGCTATTTACTGTGCACAAAAAAATCTATCCAGTAAATGGCATGCTTGTTTACTGTGCACACTAAAATCAAACCTGGGGGATGGTAGTGGCTAGTTTAAGTCACATAGTATCTACCCCGTGGATGGCATGGCAAGTTTACTGTTACACTATATCTACCTATGGATGGTAGGGGCTATTTTAACTGGGGCACACTAATCTACCATGGAGGGTAGGGGCTATTTTACTGGCACATTTTAAAAATCAACCAAAGGGATGGTAGGGGCCCTATTTTTACTGTTCACACTATATCTATCCATGGATGGGAGGGCAATTTACTGGGGCACACAAAACTACCCCAATGGATGTAGTGGCTAGTTTACTGTTCAAAAGTATCAATCCTAGGGGATGGAAATTTGGCTATTTTTACTGTGCACACTGTATCTATCCAGGGATGGCAGTGGCTATTTTTACTGTGCACACTATACCCTATCCTAGGGGAAGGTAGGGGCAGTTTACTGGCCCACACTATATCAATCCTAGGGAAATGGAAAGGGCTATTTTAAACCTTTTGGCCCCCTTATCATCCTTTTGGAGGGCAGTGGCAAATTTTTACTGTGCACACATATTTTATCCTGGGGTTGGCCCAGGGGCCTATTTTTACGGGTGCACACAAAATTTCATCCTTTTGGAGGGCAGGGGCTATTTTTACCGTGCCCACTATACCCACCCCTGGGGATGGCAGGGGCTAGTTTACTGGGGCACAATTACCCTACCTTTGGATGGCAGTGGCTATTACGTGCACACAAAATCTATCCTGGATGGAGTGGCTAGTTTACTGTGAAAACCACTAAATCTTTTCCGGGTGGATGGCAGGGGTTTAGTTTTTCCCTGTGCCCCACTATATCTACCCGGGGTTTTGGCAGGGGGTTTAGTTTCTGGGGCACACAATATTTTATCCTGTGGAATGGAAAGTGGCAATTTTTCCGGGTTGCCAAGTATCTATCCGGGGAAGGCAGTGGCTAGTTTACTGTGCATACTATTTCTTTTCCTTTGGGAAACGGTAGTGGCTATTTTTTACTTTTGCCCCCACTATACCCAAACCCTATGGAGGGAAAAGGGGCTATTTTACTGTCACACTAAAACTATCCTAGGGATGGTAGTGGCTAGTTTCCTGTGCACACAAATACTATCCTATGGATGGTATTTGGCTGTTTACTGTGCACACTATATCTACCCTTTAGGGAAATGGTATGGCTAGTTTACTGTGCACACTATATCTATCCTGGGGGTGGCAGTGGCTAGTTTCCCTGTGCACACTAAACTATCCTATGGATTTATTCTATTTATTTTGGGGGCCACAATATTTTAAAAAAGGGAATTTTTAGGGGCTATTTTAATGTGCACCCAAATTCAAACCCGTGGAGGCAGGGGCTGTTTACTGTGCCCCACTAATTTTCCCTGTGGTTTGGCAGGGCCCCTATTTTACTGTCAATATATCTATCCAGTGGATGGCAGGGGCTATTTACTGGGGCCCCACTATATCTTTTCCTGTGATGGCAGTGGCCCCTAGATTACTGTGCACACTAATCAAACCGGGGTTTCATGGCTATTTTCTGGGGGACACTATATCAAATCCTATGGATGGTAGGGGCTAGTTTACTGTGCACACTATATCTATCCTAGGATGGTAGTGGCTATTTACGTGCAAACTAAAACAAACCTGGGGAAAGGCATGCTATTTTACTGTCCCACATAGAAAACTACCCCCGTGGAGGGCAGTGGCTAGTTTACGGGTGCACACTTTTCTTTCCTATGGACGGTAGGGGGCTATTTTACTGGGGCACATATATCTATCCTATGGCCGGTAGTGGCATTTACGGGGCACACTATTTTCTATCCTTTTGGAAAAGGAAAGGGCAAGTTTACTGTGAAACACTATACAATCCTTTTGGAGGGTTTAGTGGCTAGTTTCCCTGTGCCCACTAAAACAACCTATGGATGGTAGGCTATTTTTTACTGTGCCACTATTTTTTCCTTGGATGGCAGGGGGCCTATTTTAAACTGTGCACACAAATCAAATCCTATGGATGGAAAGTGGCTAGTTTTACTTTTCACACATAACTATCCTGGGGATGGCTTGGCTAATTTTTACTGTGCCCCTTTTATATCTATCCTAGGTTTGGTAGGGCTGGGTTTACGTGCACACAAATTTATCCTAGGGAAAGGTGGGCTATTTTATGTGCAAAACTAATTTTATCCTAGGGGTTTGGAAAGGGGGCCAGTTTACTGGGGCACACTGTATCAATCCTAGGGAAATGGAAAGGGCTATTTTAAATTTTGTGCACACTGTATCTATCCAGTGGTTTGGCATTTGGCTAGTTTACTGTGCACATTATATCTATCCTATGGATGGTAGGGGCTTTTTTTACTGTGCACACTATATCTACCCTAGGGAGGGTAGGGGCAGTTTACTGTGCAAAAAATTTGTACTATCCATTTAAATGGAGTTGGCTGTTTACTGTGCACACAACACCCCTGTGGATGGTAGGGTTTTTTTAAATTGTGCCCCACTATCTATCCTATGGAGGGTAGTGGCATTTACTGTGCAAAACCCATATCTACCCCCGTGGATGGTATGGCTTATTTATTGGCACACTATATTCATCCTGGGGAAATTGGGTTTTTGGTTTATTTTACTTTTAAACACCATATCAATCCTTTGATTGGGTAGTGGTTTATTTTACTGGGGCACCCCTTTAAACTATCCTGGGGATGGTAGTGGCTATTTTAACGTGCACACCTTTACAATCCTGGGTTTGGTAGGGCTCGTTTACCCTTTTCAAAACTATATCAAACCTGTGGAGGGAAATTGGGCTAGTTTTTTGGGTGCCACCATATCTCCCAGGGAGGGAAAGTGGCTGGGTTGCTGTGCACCCCCCTATCTTTTCCTGGGGGGAAAAAGGAAAAAAATTTTCTTTGAAAAACCCCCCATACCCAAATCCTGTGGATGGTATGGCAAAGTTTGCTGTGCAAAACCATATCTACCGGTGGATGGTATGACTTTTACTGCGCACACTATATCCATCCGGGGTAGTATGGCTAGTTTTTGACTCCCCATTTATATCATGTGGATAGTAGTGGCTAGTTTATTGTAAACACCATATCTATAAATTTTGGAAATTAGGGGCAGTTTATTGTCCCCACCCCAAAAACAAAGCCGTGGAGGGAAAGTTTTTTATTTTTATTGTACACCCATATCAATAAAGGGTGGATAGTAGGGGCCATTTATTGTCCCAACCAAAAATCTTTTCCTCCCGGGGGTACACAATAGCATATGGAAAACACAATGGGCCTAGGAACTAGGCCCCCCAGGTTAACGGAGCAAAACTGGTTTATATCTACAGTTCACTTATCTATTACAAAAAAAATTTTAAAAAATTTGCCCTTTTAAAAAATCTGGGATCTTATTTCATTAATAAAAAATTTTTCTTTTGGGATATCCCCCATAAGGGTTTTTATACTGTCTACTCTATATTCCTCCCAAAAAGTGGACAATAAAAAAACATAGGACCGCACACTGGGGTTATATTTTCTATATATCGGGACTTTACCATCCCGCAAAAACAAAAAACCCTTTTATCAGTGGACTTCAAAAGGAATC